GGAAGCAGAGATAGATGTTGCATGAAATAGTTTCTATGTTCCCATATTTTCCAGAACACATTGACAGATCACTTTGCATATTGTATCTTATATGGATTTTCAGCCTAAACTCTAAAATCTGCTACAGCTTGTAAAACCAGCATCAGGAATTCCTACATTGAGTCTATAGGCAGTTATACATATATTTGAATGTATTCACCAATGTATGATGCATTTTGTGTGAACTGTTGCATGCTTCTTTCAAATTTTCTCTGATTCCCTGCTTTTTTTCAATACACCTGTACTCTCGGATAACAAAATTTCACAACCTTACCACAACTTACTGATCACATTGAGCAAACAAAAGCCTAGCAAGGACAGAAAATAAGACTAAACAACTAATAATTCCAAATGTTAGTTATAGTTATATACTCTTTCCTACTCATTCATTAACATAAGATTATCACAGCATGGATTAATGTTTTTTTTCCAAAGTGCTCCAAATGGTAATGATCTTGCTACCTGTTTGCAACCACTTAACATCCCAATGGAATGAACTGTATTGTTGCTTTAATGCATGAGATAAAGTTAAGAACTATTTAATGAATTTACATTCTTGTCAAGCTATTATATTTTAATTAGCTGTTAATGAATGTAAATCAGCAGTTATGTAATACAAACAATTGCTGAAGAAGGCTACAGAGTATAAATTGTTTGGGGAAATCCAGATATAAGTCCCGCATAAATTAAAATAATAAAAGGTTCTTTTTTAATTGGAAAATTTCTGATAAGCATTGAGACCTGCAAAGTTACATGACATCTAACGGCTGCAAGAAAATGATAGATCAAATCATACATGAAAGTGTGGGAGAATCTGATCTATTGTCTAAGTCAATAAAATACTGAGCAGGGGCTGGTGCCCACTCATTCCAAATGTTGCCCTTCAGCCTTGGCTGTTCCTGTAGGTACTCTGAGGGAATGGTCTCTGTCAAGCACTCTGTCCTGACAACACCTACTATATTACTGCTTCTTGCAGAGGACCAGTTGTGATACCTGAGGCACACACTGTCATTAATTTTTCCCAGTATCACATTAGAATTGTGAGCCTCTCATTTACAGTACAGTTTTTCAGGAAATAAGATTAAAGCAAGCATGGGACACATATGCCCTTATCTCTAGATCATACTGTCCTTAAGAGTCCCTAGGGTGGTATGTGCTCATCGAAAGGCACATTTCCTCATCATCTCATGAGGATCCTGTGATTACATTGGAATAGCAAACTTCATTAAAATAACTGGGTAAAAAAGGTCAAACAAACCCCAAATAAATAGCAGTTTTGAGATTATACTTTAAAATCCTCTTATGGAAACTGAAAACAGTTATTGCAGTGCTATTTGCTCAAAGAAGGTCTGAAATAGTATCTCTCAGAGGAGTGAACAACTTGGTTCAGTTTCAACTGACTGTCAAAGTTTAAAACCCAGTTTTCGTGAGCTTAATCAGCTGCATTCCAGCAGACCAGATGGCAACAATAATAGGGTACAATTCATACAATAAGATAATAGTGTGGAAGGGTATTCTTCCATATTACTGCTTCTCTGACATGAAGACTGCTAAATAAAATAAAATAAAATAAAATAAAATAAATAAAATACATTTTAAAAAAAAAAGTCATAGTTGTCATGCACACTTGAAGCCAAAGCCTGCACATCTGCTCACCTTGCTGAGGAGTGATGTGCTCCATGTTCTTATTTGTTTCTTCTGCAGAGCAGGCACAGCCATCACTGTGAAAACTATCCCTCTGTGGTGGCAATATGTAGTGCACAAAATTAACTGAATTTGGCCATGGTGCATTCTTCTCTATGTCTCACTTCATATCATCTCCCTGTCCAGTATTCTTCATGGCTATGATGTCCTAACATATTTGGCCAGCTGAATTTTTGGAACATATCCAGTCATATGTTTTTCCCCTTATCACAATCAATTATGCTTCAAACCATTCATCTATGATAGCTCCTGCTAAAATCTATTCTTCCATTATTGGTCTCCTATCAGCATCACTTGCCTATTCACTAGTCAGATGCAACATTCTGCAGAGACCTTATTTTTGATGCCTTCTTCCTCCTTCTACAATTAGGTGATCACCAAATCCCAAACTTTCTCTATGGTGTCTTTAGATTTTTTTTTTTCTAATTTGCATTCACAGAAGTTGAACCAGAATAGAGTTTCACCCCTCAGCACCTGTTTTTTGAAGTGAAGTAGAAGCAGGTAGTTCTTGCTAGCTTCAATTCAGTTTTCATAATGCTTCCTCTATCTTTGCCTTGAGAATAGAATTAGTTTTCTAGCTTCTTTTGTCTGCTTTTGTGCCACTCCTGATTTTTTATTGCTCTGGATAAACACAACTTTCAAAAGAATGTTCTCAGAGCACCTGCCTTTCTTTTTTAGTGTAGTATCACTGCTAGGGTGTTTTATCTAAAAATATTATGAGCATATATTTTTGCAGTGTATTGCGCTGGTGTCCTCTGATGAAAACAAATGTTATTCATTTGCATCAGTTACATAGGGTTGTGTGCTGTGATAATGCTTAATAAATAATAATATTACAATGAGTTCAGTAACGTTATAGAAGACTGAAGGAACATTTCTCTTTTAGATAATCTATCAAGTAACAAGATTTTTTTTTTTTTCTCTTTTCGTTTGTGAAAAATGTTTACATTTAGACTTTGATTCTTAAGGATTGGTGGATCTGGATCATCTGTAGATTAAATTTTACTCAGTGTATTTTGTAACATGCTGCAAAGAACAATGTTGGCTAATGTTTTTCTTTCCATATTCTTAAGACAGTGTATCTCATAATCTTAAAGATCAGTGATTTCTACTGCCTAATTGTAGAACTTTTGTGGTTTTCATGTAACGTCCAATATTTATGCATGTGAATGATAAACATTTAGGGTGTTCCTAAAACTAATCACACTTAACAATTTTTACTTCCAGGTGGAACTGAACACCTATAATGCAGTTTGCAAACTATAACATAATTAAAAATAATGCATTTCAAGAAATCATCACCATATTATCTGAAAGATAAACATGATTGTTTTAATCCATCAAAGTAACAACAGTTAAAACAACTATGCGATGTAGATGCTTAGATCATACTTTAAAAAATGAGCTGGAAATTTGTGACTGAAAAAATGATGTTTGGATTGTGCATTTACATTTCCCAGAAATATTTAAAAGTACACAAGGCTACTAATGTACTTTATTTCTGTTTAAAAATTTAATCTCTATATATGAAGTAAACAAAAATACTATCAAAGTATTTCACATGTAACAACTTGCCACTAAAGAGATATTTTCAGTATTTTGTTTAGAATTGTAAAATCTCTTTTTCTTGACAGTGTTCTTTCATAACTTAAGTTTTGCATGGTATTGGCTGTAGTCTTTGTTTAAACTAGAAGGAAACACACAGTTTTGACAAGGATTTTAGTAGCGCCTCCTAACACAAACAGGGATTTATTGTGCTGGAGTATTTCATGTCAGATTTAGGAATAAATCCCCAAAGTCTTGAAATCTCTGTGTTTCTGTCAAAAACCTGTGTTTTTCATCCACCTTTTCTTTTAAGAAATCATGTGCTTTCATTTTATTTTAATACTTTGTCCACCAAATGTCCTAGCTCCTCTAATGTTTCCCCTTAACTTAATTGAAGAAAGGAGGAAACTGAAGCTGATGTACATGCAAGAAGGGAGGGTGGAAATATTCTTCTGACACTTTTGCTTCAGGATACATTTGAAAACCAACTGAAATGGCTTACCAGCATTGTCTTAACAGTGAGAATTATCCTTTGGTAGTGAAACTGTGGGATGTCAGTGACAGACTTGCAGACTTGCTCAGTATTTGTATGAAGAATATAAAGAGGTTACCACTGCAGCAATCAGTCTGTTTTTAAAGTCTGCAAAACACAGCGCCACTCACATCTCTGCATATAATTGTTTAGAGATGATACTGTAAACACTGGAGGAAATTCAATGGTGATTCTTCTTTTCCTCTAAAAAGATGTCATACCTTTGGTTGAAGCACTGTAAATGTTACACTGTGGTTTCAGAGCTTTCAGGGCTATACAATTGATTCCTAGTTGGCAATGTCTTTAATTTAAAGACATGTTTTACTCATTTACCCATAGCTACAAAAACAATTGTGAAAAGTTAACATAAGACAGCAAAAAATAAATTCTAGGTATTAAGTATCTGTCATGAATGCACATGGTAGATTTACTAGGTTTGCTCGAAAGCTTTCAGGGTTTATGCTTAAAATAAAAAAGAACATTTTTTGTTCTACTAATGGCAGGAATGGTGATGTTACACACTTAATTCTCCTTGTATTGGACACTTTGTATCAGAAAGCTGGCAATGTTTATTTACATGGAGTCAATGATCTGCAGGGCTAAATACAAACTCCTCATGAATTAGGTGTCTCAGACTGGTTTTCTCTTTAATTTTTACCTAGGGGTATTGTTGAATGTTTTAAGAAAAAATTATTTGAACAATTATCAAAACTGATTTTGCACACTTGATATTGCACCTAAGATACAAGGGTAGAGTAAGGGATGTTTCAAAGACTGTTCCAGCTCAATTTTCAATCATTCTTTAAGGAAATGAATTTGCTTAAAGCTTGATGACTTTGGTGGATGGCAGTAAGTTGTTAAATACTCTAGTTTATGTTATAGCTTCTAAACAGAAAAAAGTAAAAGATGTAGTGTTGTAGAATTCAGAAATAATTTTGCATATATTCTTCTTTCCTGTATTCTGAACAGCGGAATGAACCACACAGTGACCACAGAAATGTCCTATTATTCACATGAGCTTGTCAAATATTTCAGTCTTTACTGCAGGAGGTTTTCTTTTTTTTTTTTAGATACATTATTTGGAAGGGAGTGTCTGATATATGTCTCTAAAATCCAACTTTTTTTTTTTTTTTCCTTAGAATGACTTAGTATTAATCTATTTCTTTATTCATTTTTATAGATTAAAAAAATCAACAGGAATTTTCCCGTAAACCAGCAGGTAAGAAAAAGAAAATTTGGGCTTGTTTCATTTATAATTCTCATTTCAACGCTATTTAATTATGTGGTAGCTGTGCATTATTCTAGCTCAAGAATTCTCATTAGATTTTCTTCAAAGAGTACTTTGCTGCCTCAAAATAGGTATTTTTATCCTAAAGCCAAAGGGAACTGGAGTGTTTCGTCAAAGTAAGATCATGCCTAAACTTTTCAAATTAACCTGTTTAATGCATATATATGTGTATATATATATATATATAAAGGTTTTCTTCAGATTGCATCTCACCCATTTTACTACAAAAGGGGAAGTGAAATTATTATGCTTTACAGAATTAGCCAGTATCTGTCAATGTTCTAAAATTCTAAAAGTGTATTACTTTTATTATCCAAATGAAAGCACAAAAAATAATATTTGCACAAAGTTATGGAGCAGGCTGGTAGCAGAATTTGGAACAAACTGCATCATCTGACTGTGTCCAAGTTCATCCATTGGCAGTCTCATATTACTGGAAGGCACTGCAATGTCTTAAAAAAAGGGAGTAAGATTCCTTGAATAGAGATGGTTTCTTGCAAAATGCATCATAAGCACAACTGTTGCTCTTCTCTACAGCTGTATATCAGGTGATTGGATCCATGGGACAAAGGGACAGAGCTGTGTGTCTTGAAAAATCTCTTCTTTCCACAATTTTTTTTTTTTCTTTAAAGAAGCAAACCTACAGGCAGCTTGAAGTTAAAGGCTGAAATTCTGAGATTCTAGTTGCTAGAGACCGTAGTAAGAATGGACAACAGCCACACCTCCTCAAAAGGGTCAGCATATATTTCAGAAAACTGTGTAAACAAAGCATGAGTAAAAATATTTAGGGTAAAGCTCACTACACTGTAAAGTGATCAAAGATTAATTTGGAACATAGTCTGTTCCCATACCACAGTAATGCCATTAATTGTTCTGTGATATAGCACAACAACAGTTGAAACTGTGAACAATTTTGTGGTGGGCTACTTATCACAGAGTACACATCTAGTAAGTTAAACCAGTGCATATATTGTATATCACAACTGTTACATAATGGGGATTTCTTTTTAAGAAACTTGTAATAAGGGGAAACAGAGAAATCTGATTCATCAGAAGGAACAACTTACTTCCTCATAGAAGAGAAGTATCTATAGGACTGAGCTGTAAACTTGCCTTCGAGAGGACAGATTTGAGGAAGAATAGTGCTTTCACCTCCCTTACACCACATCTTCAACCAGTCAACATATTTCTCAGTTCCCTGTCTCTGGTCCAACTTTATTCATATGGAATTATTAATATGGAATTGTGCTTAGTGTAACTCACAAAGGAGGGTGTATTACTATTTTGTTTGCTGCTATCTTCATGAGAAGGTCCACAAATCATAATAAATGAATGAATGATGATGATAATAATAGTAGTAATAATAACAATAGCAACTGTATGGGTATGTATAAATGAAGTTAGAATAAATAAAACATAATAAACAATTAGGAACATTTTTATTTGCCCTTGATTCTCGATTCTTCATCTGCACTACAAGTACTCAGATTTTTAGATACTTTTATCTCACTCTTGCCTCCTGAAGTCACAGAAAGGAAGTGGTTTGTCACATTCAGCAATTGAAGATGGCACTTGCATTTGGGCATTTTCAGAACAGTTTCTATAACAGCAGTTGCTGGCAGTGGCAAAGAAATGCTTCTGTCTCAAAAGAAGGAAGGACGAAATGCCTAGTAGACAACTAATAGTTAACTAGCTCCATTCTCACTCTTATGATTTACTCTGAATTTATCTCTTTGCTTTTATTACTGTGAAAAAAGACAATAAAAATATGAACAACAATTATTATGTCTCACCAGGCTAATATTAATTCAGTGATTTCTGCTGTTTTGGCATATGTGATCAGTAAGGCATTTTCCTTTTCATAAGATTTCAAGTGGAAAGCAAAAATAACTTTCTTGGCTTGAATAGCTTGTTGGTCATGTTATCTGTTAGGGCAGCCTGCAATTAATGTGTTTTTCTCTCATCAGTCACTGTATTCCAAAGGAATTACCATGGATCATTTCAAGAAAGTCAGCAAAAAGATCAAACTGAAAAGAGAGAGGCCAATTTGATGGGCAGTGAGACTGATAAGGTCTCACTGCCCATCAAATACTGGAAAACAAAAAGGTTTATTGATCTGTGAATGTTTTGAAATTTTAGGGAACACTAATTTCAAAACAAGACTCCCTTTTGGGTTTACCTTATGTAAAGAGTGTTGGGGGTTTTTACTGTAGAAGGAGCTAGGAGATATCACCTAATTTAAGTTAAATAAGGTATTTCTGAGAAGAGTTAGAAAAGACTACACAGATGTAAGGTTAATTTCTGTCTTCTGATATGCAGCAGACATTAACATGATATGCAGGGAAGGAACAAGCCTTTTTACTTGTTACATTAACACATCATTACTTATCTGAATATTAAATTATCATCTTGAATACTTTTGTCATTTTGACATTTATTTTAATAAAATACATTTTTGTCTAAGAGGTTGAATAGCTAGTTTTAACTTCTTTCTGCAATCACATCATGAACTTGAACTCTGAAACCAATCTGATTGGGATTTTACTTCAAGATTTTTTCTTACAATATATTTTGCCGAAAATGATTAGTCCAAACTACAGGCAGGTTGTCTGTTTAGGATGGAAATGCCTCTATGTCTTATTATGTGCCCTATGCATCTTATTCAATAAAAAGCAGTAATAAGACAAACTCTGACAGTTTCTAAGCACTTATAATGAAATGTTTTCAAAGTCAGTTTATTGAAAAACATCGATTGACTAAGAATTTTTAGAGTACTATCTTTAATCAATGCAGGTGGAAAAGGTTTGTATGATCATGTGGCTTTTCAGTTCTCCCTCAGTGACAAAATTTCTACAGTATATTTCACATTTCTTCCCTGTGTATCTAAAAGATTCCTGATAAATACCAATACATTTCAGTATTTAACTTTTTGTCTCAAATGTCCTCCTTTTGCTAAATATCCAGTTACTAGGAAGATTAATATCTTTCTTACACTTAGCTGTTACTAATATCAAAATGCATGTGAAGGTTTTGATTTTATGCCTTTGTCTATCTAAGCAAGATTTCCCATAGAATTTTCCATCAACAGTGGCAACATTGCAAGTTAATCTTTCGACTTCTGTCTCCATCCTATTATGCTTAAAAAAGCTCCAAACCTCATACTTAATTTCACTTAATGAATACCCATGGGTTTTTTTATGAGTACTAGCAGCATAATTGAAGATTATTTTCAGTTAGAATTTTTGTGTATTTATTTAAATAAAATTAGTATGTTTATATGTATCTGTATATATATGTGGATTTTAATTAGTTATTAAAAGTAAAGGGGAGAAGGCAGTTGTCAAACTAGAGTCAAGGAACCAATGCAGTTAGAATTCTTTTATGAATATATTCTTGATTTGGAGAAGAAAATATTAGCACAGACAGATCCCTTAGCATTACAATAAGGAAACAAATGAACTTACATAGGTGTGGAAGCTATTGTAACACTGACAGTGTTATCCAAATGTCTCACTGTTGCAGTAAGTTAAAAAGCAAAGAGAAAAAGTGATTAGAAAAGACTTGTTAACTGCACATAATGTAACAGCTTTCCTTTAGGGCAGTAATTGTGAAAGTAGGTTTGTCTGGAAAATTATTAGAAAGATAAGATACATTTATTGGAAATCAAAAGTTCAAAGATGATGGGTCTTGATAAGAAAGTGATAACTGTATGGACAGGATGAAGCAATAAGAAGTCCTGAGATTGATGTTAATATGTTTAATAGTGGTGGAAAGATGATGCAAAAAATGCTGGAAGAGGACCACACAGACAAAATATTGTTGAAGAAGATTGTGGGAGAAAAGGGAAATAAAGTTCCCCCTTTCTCAGCTGACAATGATGAAAAGAACGCTTGAAGGTGGTAAAAAATCAGAAAATTGGTTGTGTTTTCTATATTGGTACTATATGCATGGGCTACGTATAGTACCATCTAAGAGAATATCAGCAAGTAGTTGTGAAAATAATTAAATAATTTGGTGCTGAAAACATAATGCATATTTTAAATATGTACTAAAAATAATACTATGTCATAGACAAAATTTCCATAACTCCAGAGGAAAAACAATAAAGACCTTATAGCAGAGAGGCACGAAGAACAAAGTATTTCAGGGTTTCAGCCAGAGACTTCTCTATCTGATCAGCCAAGATGGGAGAGGAAACACAAGCGTGTTTCCTTTTCTTGGAACACATCCCTGCTCTTCAGCTGTTACACTGATTACAGCAAATGTCAGCTCCTGCCAGAGCCATCATTAGGCAGGTGAGTTCTGAGAGGTGGCATTGACTTCCCTGCTAACCCTTTCCAAACAACAGGAAAATACACCCTACCTCAATAAACTGTGGTGGTGTATTGAGGACAAGCACTGCCCATTCCTTTTCAATTCCCAATCTTTACATCAGCCACCATGAGTTTGTGAATGTGCTGATATCAGCTGAAAATTGTCTTGAAAGCATCTAGGGAAATCAGCATTAGATAGTCTTTCTTACAAAATCTTCTGATTCTTTTCAGGGTGGGAAACCAAATGTATTGCCTCTAGCTACTGGAGATTTTAGTACACATTATAACCCTCATTTGCTATTTGGGTTTTACTGGAATTTGGCATTTACTTATTGCCATGCCAGGAGGATGAATTTGTTGCATCTGGTTTAGGTACACAGTGGAATTCAAGGTTTAGATCTAAATCTCTAGTCTGGCCTTCAGTTCACTTAAAAAGGTTAATGGTATTGCTCAGGTGGACTGATAGGACAACATCTGTTCTAATGATAAACATCTGTATGAAACACAGCACATGCCATTTTTTTTTAAATTGCAGAAAAATAACCTCCAAGATGACATTACTATTGTATTAATATTTTTAAAGTGGAATGATTAAACAGAGTGTTCTACTGAAAGGTG